AGTTAGTTACATGAATTCAGATATGAGATGAAATCGGATAGGGATGAATGAGTTTAAGAGTTTTTAAGAATTTTAAGAGTTTTTAAGAGTTTTAGCCAAATGTTTTATAAGATAGTATATATATATAGGGTTGGGTTCACGTGAGACTAAGAGTTTTTCGTGAGACCCGTAAGACCAATTTATGTTCATTGATCAACTTTATAAGCTAATGATTTAATGGTCTAAAGTTGCACAGTGACAATCTTGTGATTATTGAGAAGTCTCGTGACATTTATGAATGTTCAGATTGTCAGATTATAGATCTAATCCAAGGGTTGAGAATTGGTCTTACGGGTCTCATAAAAAACCTTTGGTCTCACATGAGCCCAAGTCTATATATATGTGTGTGTGTGTGTGTGTTTTGGATATGTAATTGCAAAAGCACCAAGTTGCAACTTGTGGGTCATGTTTCATGATTGCAACATGTTAAAGAGATATAGTCTTAGGTTAAAAAGCATTTGCTTTACCATATAAGTCGAATAAAAGTGATATTATATGATCATAAAAACGTAATTAAGCAATTAAAAATCATTTTTATTAAAAGAAGCTAAAAACAATAAAAAATAATGTTTTTTAATTGGTCGAGTGATCGTAATGCATGTCATCGAGTTAATTATACTATTTTTTTGATGGAAGGATTGTGTTTTTGCTTTCTATGAACGAAGGAACCAATATGTCTGCTAATTTGACCGAAGGAACTACAAAATGTAAAGGAAAGGCCTTCGATTTGAACTCGTGTTAGCCGACCAGATGTCTAAGAGAAAGTCCGACCTCTTACTGGAGTTCGTTTTAGCACCGATTCGAAATATTTATATTCTTCTCTCTCCATTCCGAAAGTTAAGTTTAACAGGTAGTATGTTTAGATTTAGTTTTATTCATTTAGTTTGTGTTCATATATGTTCACAAGTTATAGTAAATCTCGTAGATTTAGACCGTGTTCACATTTTATAGCAATATTTTTAAGAAAGTATTCACAATGTGTTCCTCTAGAATTCATGTTCAATTATGTGTATGTGAATTACGGAGAGAGAAGAGAGGCGAGAGAATAGAAGACAAACAGGAGAAAAATTAGGAGCAGAGAGAGAGAGAGAGATTTTTAATATATATATATATATATATATATATATATATATATATGGGCCTATTCAAGGGAGAACTGGGTTGTTTGTGTTAACTGTGAGAATCAATATTAACCACAAATTAATAGATAAATTAGAAAATTTATAAATTTGGTAATTTTAAATTAAAATCTTAATGCAAGGATATTTTTGGTATTTTAAAACTCTC